AGGAAATTGGAGATTTTGAAGAGTATTTATGGGGAGGTGTGTTATGAAGGAAAAGACATTGGGGTAAAAATGTCAAAAGAGAAAACTTGAGGGGTCAGTTTAACAACCACACTAAAAGATTGAAACTTATTATAATTCATAATTCTAATTTTATCCATGAAATGGATTTAGTGTGTAGAATTGTTTTTTGTTTTGTTTTTAAACTAGTGTGTAGAATTGTTAAGCTTATCTATATGTATTTGAATTATTTTTTTGTCAACATGTATTTGACTGNTTATCTTATATCTTCTACAATTGTCACACATATTGTCTTTATTTTTACACAACTGACAAAAACAACAAAGTGAAATACACAATGTTTTTCCACTAATCAAATCAAGTTTTATAGATTATTTAAAATATATGATCCATACTATTGTAGACAACAATCAAATTAAAGTTTTTTCTTTCTCATAACCGATATTCGAATTTATGAATTGTAGAACCAAAACTTATGATTCAAACCGGTTGGGGAAAAAATGCATGATTTACTTTATTACATTCACCAAGTTATTCTATGGTCGACAAAATATTAAGTAATTAAATGAAAACATTGATTATGTTTTATACGATATGTCCTTGGATATGTTAACATCAGACTAACTAACAAAACTAAACAAATTATACGAAGCAAATCTTCGTACACAAATTCTACCAATTGTAACGGCGAATAAATATTTTTGGAGAAAGTGGGCACAAATGTCACAATCTAAGACTAAGAGCATGTCCATTGGGATGTTCTCAAGTGTGTTCTTAAAATATAAAATTATTAAAACACACATTTTCTCTTCTTTTTACTCAACTTTATACCTTCTCTTTTATCTTTTTACTCAATTTTTATTAATTTTATATTTAAACATTTTTTTTTTCATTTTGAGAACACTATCTAAAAGTACTATTTTAAGAACACTCTCTCTTCCATGCTCTCAATTTTTATTAATTTTATATTTAAACACACCCACTATCTCCTCTCTTTACTCAAATTTTATTAATTTTATATTCAATACACCCTACAAAAACACTCTCTTTCTTCCTTTTATTCAAATTTTGATAATTTTATATTTTAAAAACACACTTGAGAACACCCCGATGTACAATGCTCTAATAGGGTTAAACAAGAAAGAATGTAATAATAACAGTATTGTATATAAAATCAGAAATGGCATTAAATGCATAACCCTTAGTCAGCTAAGCACTAC